AAATAAAAAGATAATAATCATGCCACTTTTTAATTACAAATACTTGAATACGTCAGCAACACGATAGGGTATTTGTAGCATGCCGTGTATTGATCATAATTCATAGCTAATGTGTTTTACTTTGCCATTACGTAAAGTTATGCATATTTCAAGAAATTACAACGGTGCCACATTCATGTCAAGATCCTCTTCCTTCGTTTATAAATCTCCATCCACCATGCTAACTTTTCCGTAACTTTGAGTTGCTCGAATTTTACATCATAAGTCATAACCGTCTTCACGGCGGATATCCGGCAAATATTTTCTCACATTTATGTGCAGTTTGATCAAATAAGTTCACCATTGATTGATGCCCATTAGGTTAGCCTTTTTGGCAATTGCTGTTTATAAAGCTGATAGATCCAAGTATTCAAGCATTATTTTGATTAAAACAATACGTTAAATTCATAATGTGAAAATATTTGTTTCCAAAGAGAATTGGAAAGCTTCAGTTTAGTTTAATGCATTGGCCAGATAAGCCGTCGCGAAAACGGCTAGTTATTGATAGGATTTGTCACCTGTGCTTGTGCGCCGCTGCTCTGGATCTGGGAGCTACCGAAGAGGCCACTGGACTGTCCCTGAGTGGAAAAAGAGTTGGAACCGCCAAATCCACCACCGGGTCTAAATCTACCAAATTGGGGCTTGGCAGCGACGGCCACCAGCAGGCAGGCGAGAACGACGGCGGTCTTCATGATGGCGCCTGAAAAAAGAGAAATAATGTTTTTTTTTTGTAAAAACTTTAACTGTGGATATAAATGTGGATGCTAGTCCACATTTGTGACACTAATCTTGCTTGTTTACAAATAACCAGTATAGCGCCTTTTGGGGCGACTAACGGAGCGAGCGAGGGGGTGAGTCTTGCACGTGCGAAATTTCGAGGGGGTACCTCCAACTGACTTGTGCACGGCACCCTACTGACCGGTTTCTAGCGATGTGCCAAATTTGAGCACAATCGGCCCAGCCGTTCTCGAGATCTGGGAGCGGCACCCTGCACGTGCGCACGTGCAAAATGGGTCCCAACTGACTTGTGCACGGCACCCTACTAGCTGGTCCCTAACTGTGTACCAAATTTGAGCGCCATCGGTCCAGCCGTTCTCGAGATCTGGAAACGACCCCTGCACGTGCGCACGTGCAGCAGCACCCCAACTCTGGCACATGGATATGCAGTGCCTAGTGGGTGCCTACCTACATGCCAACTTTCAGCGCAATCGGCCAAGTAGTTACCGAGATATTGCAACAATTACAAAACTGACACCTCTTCGTTTTGCGCGTGGCACGTGTATAAGGGGTCACCCACATGCATCGGGAATAGTCCAATACTTGGTAGAAGGAATGAAGCTACCCTACAAAAATTACCCCGTGTAAATCGGTCAAGTGGTTGCTGAGATATAAGCCTCGCAAAAGCGTCCGCACAGCCGGGGCCGGCCGGCCGGCCGCTCATACTCAGAAATTTCCGTTAATCTAAGGAAAGACTCCGCTCGCTTCGCTCGCTCCGTAATAATGCTTTAAAAAAATATGTGAGTCGGGATCTATTTTATCACATTATGGGCTCCTCATGAATATTTAAAAATAAAATAATCAGAGCTTCATATTACGACAGTATTCATCGGTCACTGACTTTAAATGCTAAAACCAGTAAAGCGCCTTTTGGGCGAAGAACGAGCGAGCGAGATAGTGAGCCCTGCACGTGCAGAAGGGCGAGAGGGTACTTCCAACGGGCTTGTGCAAAGCACCCTTCTAACCGGTCGCTAGCGGTGTACCAAATTTGAACGCAATCGGCCCAGCCGTTCCTGAGATCTGGAAGCGGCATTCTGCACGTGCGCACGTGCAAACGGGGTCCAAAATGACTTTTGCACGGCACCCTACTAACCGGTCCCCAACCATGTACCAAATTTGAGCGCAATCGGCCCAGCCGTTCTCGAGATCTGGAAACGCCCCCTGCACGTGCGCACGTGCAGTAGCACCCTAACCGCAACACATGGGAATGCATTGCCTGGTGGGTGCCTACCTGTATGCCAAGTTTCAGCGAAATCGCCCCAGTAATTACCGAGTTACTGAAATGGGAACAAATTTGGCACCTCTTATTGTTGTATTTTGCACGTGCAGTGGGGGTCACTCACATAGATGAAGAGTATCCGACCTTTGGTAGAAGGGATGCAGCTACCCTATAAAAATGACCGCAAGACAATCGCCCAAGCGGCTGCTAAGATATGAGCCTCTCAAAATCACTACTTTTGCAAAATAGCTTGAACACCCTTGACTTTTCACGTGGCACGTGCCACGACGGTCACTGAGATGTATCAAAAGTAGTCAATTACGGGGTAGAAGGGATAGGGCTACCCAGCAAAAAAGACCGCAGGCCAATCGGTCCAGCGGTTGCTGAGATATAAGCCTCTCAAAAGCGTTACAGGCCGGGCCGGGCCGGGCCGGGCCGCTCATACTGAGATTTTTCCGTTATATTGAAAAGACTCGCTTCGCTCGCTGCGCTCGCTCGCTCGTAACTACGGCCACTTATTTTAGCATTGAAATTCGTCAGTATGCAAGCATATTTCATTGCATTGCGTTTAAAACCACAACGGGTCAACCATTATAACCTGGTAAGGTTACAAGGCACGCGTTGGTTGGCATTTGCTACCACTCCTTATGAGAAGCACATGTATCTGGCTATCTAACGTTCTCACCTGTGGGTTGGGATCTTCTTTCAGCCTTTGCAGATCCTTGTTAAGTGATGCCGGTTGCGAGTTGGACTCCGTTTATATAGTAGCGGGGCCGGTCGGAATTAGCCACAGCCCAGAACCTGTCTTGCCTTTTCTGACCATCACCTGATCTTCTGCACGCATGGTGCAAGTAAGTAGTTCTGTACAAAAACGCTTCCGAGAGATTCTCAGTAGTATTTGACGTAATGTTCCTGACCCAGCCTTCCTCAAAGTCAGAGGTGAAGAAAACCTGCTACTCGCCTGCGTGCGTAGGTGACAGCCATAGGAATAAAGAGACAGCTTCGAGCATCTTAGTTGATGCATTTAAAATAGATAAATAGGCCGTTTCCGCCAAAATCAGAGCTGTTTTCCCATAGAGGACCACTATGGACCACGGCACAAAAATTTAACAGCGTCATCTCTTTGTAGACAGCTGGGGCTGAAAAATCCCGCCGGTGCGACAGCCGGTGCGTTGTGAAGCGCCATAGACAACGCAGGAAAAACGGCGACAGTGCGACAGCTCGTCCCCGCTCGTCGCCGGTTGAGCGGTGGCGGGGACCGGGGCGGCCTTGGCCGCCGCCGGAGTAGGGAGGGACCGGGCGACTGGGACGGGGGACGTCACATCTGGGCCACAACTGGGGCGAGGTCCATGACCATCGGTCCCAGAAACTTGGTAGGAGCGTTGATAATTGGTCCTGACTTCTGAAGCAAAGGCAAGTGAATCAGTGACAACTGACAATCCTTTCGTGAGTTCTGATTGAATTGGATCAGGAAGCCAGGATGAGCATAGGAAGTCGATCAGACCTATAGGTAAGTGACAGTATTTTTCAGTATGACAGTATTTTTTTATGTTGTGTCACTGAAATGTGGTGATGCGTTGTAATGCCCAGAGGCTGAAATTTGAAAGTTCAGTTTCTCTCTAACACTCTAGCCTCATTTTAAAATTTCCTTTTTTAGGCCTACAAAGGTGATGAGAAAACCGCAAAAATGTGGTGCCTACTGTTTCAAGATGACTTGTGAAAAATTGGTGACAGCTAGACATCGCGTAGGTGACAGCTTTTGAGTTTTATTCACCTCTGCTCAAAGTAACCAGACTGCAGTTACACAAAGGACGTCAGAGGGTAAGAGTGATACATAGGTACAAATCACCGGTTTCAGTTGGGTGTTGATGGAACACCTGCCCAGATATAATGCACTGCTTTGAGCCTCCCCAGTCTCCAGCTATGGGTGCTTAGAATGATTTTTTGCGCTCTGAAACTAAGCAGTTCTGCTGGGAGTTGTTTGAAGCATTTTGTAGTCGTAATAGTTTGATTTATGTAGTTTTCATTAACCAGCTGGGCGGGGGGCAGAATCCGCTCTACCACTGTTTGTCAACAGTTTCGAAGCGCGTTAAACAAGTGACGACAAACCTGCAGTACCTTAGTTATTATACATCAATTCGATCTGACATATTCGCGATTTTAAACAACTATCAGAGTTTTTGTGACGTCATGTCACGCCATTTTCGCTCCAAAAACTGCAAAATTTCACCCGCCTCTAACATCTTTAGTTTTTAAGGAATCAAGACGCAACAAAAAGTATGTACGTAATTGTACGTCGTCTTTCAAATAGCTATCTTGATGTTTCGATTTTTTTATTTCGAACCTAGGTATTTATTTAACCCGCGCCCCGCTAGGGGTCCTGGAATTCCACGCCCTGCTGGGAGGGGTGTTTGAACACCCTCCCCCTCTTCTAGCTCGGCTAGAAGAGGGGGGCACGTAGCAATACGGGGAAGGGAGCGTTTGAAACAGCGTAAAAAAAATAATGACGAAATTACTTGGGTTACTTTCAAAGCTCTGGTTACCAGGGGTCATTGAAGGCCATATTCCTCCGATTTTAAGGTCGAATATTGACAACCTTCAAGAAGCCGACGCATGACTCTGGAACCGATAAAGCTACAACGCCGCAGAAAAGCGCATGTCTTACGGTTCTTACGCTATAAACGATAAAATCAGCGATTCCGTTGCCGCTAATATAGTCCAATTTTACCCTGACATTGTACCGGTTTTGGTGGCCTGGTGACCTGACCTGAAAAGGCAGAGACCTGCAATTTTTAGGGAAAGTGCAACAAGGTTGCCACAGAGGGTATGCCAAATTTTGCAGCGCTACGCGCCGCCGTTTTTACGTGATTCGCGAAAAACCTTAGGGGGTTGCATCAACCCCCCCCCCCCCTGGCCCGGCGAGAGCTACTGTCTCAAAATTTGCCCCATGCGAGAAAACACGTACTGTCGAACATGTATGTATTAATTGACAGCACTACACGTTCCACGATTTTGCAAAAGAGAAAATATTTGAAGCAGTTTTCGACGTCCGTACGTCCTCGCCGAAACGTTGCACGAAGCTCCACGTATTGGAGGTTAGCGTCCGAACTGGTTGCTGGTGGCCTGGTTGTTGGCGAATTGCTGGTTTCCGAACGGGCCTGTGCTCTGTCCGACTGTGCTACCGGCGCTGTTGAAGGAGGCCGATCCCGGGCCAGACGCAAATCCCTGCAGAGAAGTTGTGATTTTATAAATATTGTACGGATCATATAACTTTGAGCAGCTCAGTGTCATTAACCAATAACTCAATGCTGAATAGTTGGTTTGGTCAAACTAGTTTAATGATGATTTAGGATGAGACTGAATGATAAATAACAGATATTTAACGATATTTGCCATGTATGAGCCTACTCAGCATTGTGGGGCATTACGCACCGGCTTGGCTTGTTTGATGGTAAAAAAAATATTTGAAGTAAAAATCGAAGAAAAACTTACTCCAGCACTAGCGCTGCTCTTTTGGATCTGGCTGGTGCCGCCAAAAGGACCGGTCGACTGGGCTTGGATGGAGCCAGACTGGGCGTTTCCGCCAGCATTTCCGCCAAATCCACCACCTAATCCGCCCAGTCCTCCGAGATGAGATCCACGGAACTGGGGCTTGGCAGCGACTGCCACCAGCAGGCAGGCGAGAACGACGGCGACCTTCATGACTGCTCTTCTGGAAATGCGAGAAAACGTAAAATTGGTTGAATTTGAAGTGCAGGGTAAAGGTGTGATTTTTTTAGTTGTAATGCAAAATTTGGTTTATTCTTTGCCAATTTACGACGATCTCTGCGTATTGTTTGAAAACTGTTAACCCGCGCCCCAGTGTCAGTCTGGATTTTCCACGACCTGGTGTGGGGGTGTTTGAACACCCCCCCCCCCCCTTCTAACTCGGCTCCTGGGCCACGTGCGACACGTGGTAAGCGGCAATCGAAAGAACGTCCAAAATAAGGACGAAAACACTTCGGTCATTTTTTGGGTCAGGTCAAAGGTCAGGTCACCAGAGGTCACCAAAGGTAAAATGTTGACTATTTCAACATTTTGGAAACTGCCAACGGCTATCTCGGGAACCAATAGAGCTACAGCGCCGCGGAAAAGCGCATTCGATAGCCCTTTTACAGACCTTCCTGAGTTATGTTCTCAGATTTGACCTCAGGTCAACGGTTTAGCCTCCAGAGGGCAAAACCCCCAAAAATAGCCGTTTTTTACGAAAATCGTTTTTTCGGCGATAACTTTTGACTCAAAAGAGCCATGACATTACTTTTGCCAGCATCGTGTTCCTTTCGTCGAGACGCGTCGAATGAACTATAAGTTGACCTTGAAAGGTCAACTTGAAAATATGACCTGAGGTCAAGGTCATGACCTGACCGGAAAAGGTCATGTTGCATATCAGTCGATCCGCAACGTCGAGCCGAACACATCTAAGGCGTTTTCAGCGCTCTAGCACGCCTCTATCAGAAGTTATTAGCGAAAAACTGTTAGATTCTGTTCGTGACCTGAGATGACCTCGGGGACATAACGAGGGGTCACAGTTGCCATTTTCCGGTTCAATGTGTCAATTTTACCTACATCTCGATGTTTGAGAGTGTCTAGAATAGCGTTCGTGCAAAACAGACACTTTTCAATTTTCTCCCATTGACTTATAATGGAGAGGCCGCAAAATTGACCTGACCTTAGGTCACCGATATCAAAATTCCGAGATAAACATTTATAGATACTGTTACCCTCATCAATCGCTGAAAGTTTCAAAGTGATCGGTCACTCGGTGTAGCTATGGCAGACATTGAAACTTTTATGAGGTGAGGTCACTTCAAGTGACCTGGTGACCTGACCTTGAATGACCTTGGTCTGAAATTTTCACATGTGTAGAATTGATGTATGATAAGGTGTACCAAAAACAGTGGCGCTCCGCGCCGCCGTTTTTGAGATATCTGCGAAAAACCGTAGGGGGGGGGGGTGTTCAAACACCCCCCCCCCCCACACACACACACACTTGGGCGCGGGTTAATAATGCCAGTGTATGACAGCTTTTGTGCCTCCTGTATGGCATGTCTTTCGTTCTGTTAGAGTAAATTCGCGCTGGTCCATTGCACGTTGATACTAAGTCGAGGTCAATCGTTTGACAAATAATCTTGGGAGGGTGTGCGCCTTTGTTCTACATAGGTGGCTAGGACACACTTAATTATCCTATTTATCAAATCATGTCTACAGTGATGCAGCTGGTTAAACTTAATATCAGGGTTGCGGAGCCGTGGAAATTTCAGACGGCTCCGGCTCCGGAGAAAAAAAATCGGTTCCGGCTCCGGCTCCGGCTCCAGGTGAAATGTCATGGCGGATCCGGCTGCGGCTCCGAGTAAAATGCTCCGGCTCCGGCGGCTCCGGCTACGGTTCCGGCTCCGGCTCCAGTACTCAGTACATCCCCTATGCAATTATATACGGGTGGAGCAAAAAAAAAAAAAAACGATGGGATTGGTTCACGTTGCTTCTGTATTTGCATAACAAGGCTATTTTGAACACCACATGTACTGTCACTGCCTTGTACTGTCAAACGAACTAGGTCAATCATGTTTACCTCTTCAAAAACAAACAGGAGCCGGAGTCGCCCCTTTTTTACGGCTCCGGCTCCGACTCCGGGCAAAATATGCCGGCTCCGGTGGCTCCGGCTCTGGCTCCGCACCCCTGCTTAACCCTCGCCCGTAATGGGGGGGGGTCGAACGGACCCCCCCCCCTCGGCTTTTCGCGAATAACTCGCGTAAAAAGCGGCCGATCGCGACAAAACTTTCAATACCCTCGCGTTAATCAATTTTACACCTACCCTAAAATTTTCATGACCCTGACCTTAATGACCTTTGACCTGTGACCTACTTTTCGAGACCATGTTTGGCTGGAATCGCGATTCGGCGTATGTCGGCTCGCATTAGCCGCGCGTTTGCAGTCTTTTCGTGGTTTTAAGCGTTCAAACATGGGATATGATGCTGCTCCCATGCATTAGGGTGGGTGTCAAGGTCACCGGGAGGTCAGGTCAGGTCAGGTCATTGACATTTGATGACCTCGGCTCACTTTTTCGAGTTTTACATGTTTCTAGGCCAGTTTTTGGAGCTGAATTCGAATTAAGCAACCATATGAACATTTACGAAGTAGTTTTGGTGCCTTCGTAACATGTTACGAAGCTGTCAGAGGCGGTTGCCACCTACTACGAATACCCTTACTGGTTGACCTGACCTGACCTGACCCGACCTGGCCTAAATGCATGAAAACAGTATCTGTGATCAAAACTAACATGATATTCGTGATCAGCATCCCGAAAAACCCCATAGCAGCCACGCGTTACGACTTTCTAAGAGGTCCCAATTTTCCTGACTTTTGGGTCATTGACCTGACCTGGAAGGTCAACCGATGACCTAGGACCTTAAAATTGGGTATCATCGGCTTCCTCTCGTGACGGGCAACACGCTCGTTTTTTTCCGCGAAGGTCTAGCTCGCTCAGGGGAAAAACGGCAAGGGGCAACGGTCCAATGGACCCCCCCCCCCCCTTATACGTTCGCGACTGGAAAAAAAAACATCAATACGGGCGAGGGTTAAATTAGTTTATTTAGATTTTGCCTTTAAAATGCATAAATCATAGTAAGTCACTCGTGATACCAATGTTATATTAATGGCACTGATTTCAATAATAGACTCACCTGGTAAAAAGACACTTCTAAGCAATGGCTCAAACTGCAGACTGGTAGAAAACAAACGGAAAGCTGCCCCTATATAGTCGCTCTAGCCCGTGACAGACCTGTTAAAAACCGGCCCGGCCCAATATTTCCGCGTGTTACATGGTCGTGATGACAAACGGTTGTTTTCCTGTTGGTCGCTTACACGCGTTCGGTGTTGTGGCATGGCCAAACAGAGTTTAGACTGCAGTAATAAGCGCTGCTGAGTAACTATTTACGGTTACAGTTACCCAACGCTAATTGGAAGAGGTAGACAAAGAAGATTCCAAAGCAATGATGTACAGTCCACAGCAGAAGTAATGTGCGGTTTCAGTCATGGGTATGTTCTGCTTCTGAAGCTTTGGAACGATTAGCCAGACTACAATGAAACTTTGAATGTAGCTTATATGTATCGTCACCCTTGCAGCTGCAACTTTAGCTATTGACATCATCTTTTCGATCACTCCGCATTAACCCGCGCCCCGCTGGGCTATTCAGCCATACGCGCCCTGCTGGGGGGGGGGGGGGGGCAGATTCTGCCCCCCTGACTAACTTCCGAACCGATGGTCGTAGAAAGACGGGGAAAACGGCAATCGAAAGCTATCAACAAGGCGGATCTTAAGAGCCCAATTTTTTTTGCTTAAGTAGGTCAGAGGTCAGGTCAAGGTCAGGTCAAGGGTACAAAATACAAGTTTCTACAGTATCGGCCTTGCACCGTAGTTGCCGAAGAATGGACTGAGACTGATTGCCCAAAACGTGTTCTTAGACTACCAAGACAATATTCATTGCACACAATGTCATTCAAAGGTCAAGGTCAAGGTCAGGTCAGGTCAGGTCAGGTCACCAAAAACAAAATATAGAAAAGGGCATGTGCGACACATGTTTTATGGGTCATTTTACTCATGGAATTCAATAGGCACACTCAATAAGTGATATGGACCGCCTCTGGATGAATTTCAGGTCGAGGTCAGGTCAAGGTCAGGTCAAGTGAGGTCAAATTTTGAAGTTGGTTGTTAAGGCCTAAAAAGGTGTCTATTCGATGCAGTTTTTCACGGCGAATCGAATGGTGCTATTTTTGTTTCCGTACGAGGTCTAGAACTTCCAAAAAAAATCATTTTCCAAAATTTATGTGTGTCGTGACGTCATAAAATTTTGAATAACTCCCACATTTTTGAACCGATTCTTCTAAAAATTGGTATGTAGGTGCACATAGACCACTTCTTTGACATATATTCCGGTTTTTTCGATAAACTCAAAATTTTGGATTTTATAAATATTTTCCCAAAAAAGTCAGTTTTTTGGAAAAATTTTGGCCAAAATCCAAAATTTTAAAAAAACCGAGATAGCCATTTGATAGACAAAGTAAAATCACGTATAACCTTTTTTGTTACGTCTTGATTCCTTTAAAAATGAAGATGTTAGCGGCGTTTGAAATTTTGCCGTTTTTGAGGCGAAAATGGCGAACATGACGTCACTAAAACGTCAATTTCTCAAAACTTTTCCGACGGATTTCGCTCAAATTTTCAGGGAACGTGTCAAATTGATGTATGATAAGGTACTGAAAGTTTGACGTCGCTGGCGTAACGCGTTTAGAAGTTATTGGCGAAAAACGGGAGGGGGGGGGCAGATTCTGCCCCCCCCCCCCCCCAGCGGGGCGCGGGTTAAACAATCACCAGTCAAAGCCAACCGTTGAGATTGGTAAAACCCTGCATTACTTTAGCGGTGGGCTGTACTATTACTTTCCGATGAATAATCTGTCATGCATGCCATATAGAGGATACATGCTTATCTATTAACATATTTTGTGACACTTCGCATATTTTTTTTTTGCAAATGAAAGATACCGATGTGTTCACACATCTGTTCGGGTCCCCGCTCAAACATTGTGCAGTCATCTCCAGGTATTAACCCGCGCCCTGATGGGGTCTGCCGAGCAACGCGGTCTGATGGGGGGGGGGCATTTTGCCCCCCCCCCCTAAGATCTCGAGAACCACGCAACATAGCGACAAGCGGCAAACGGCGTTGGATAGCCCCAACGGGGAACTACCTTGTGACTCAATTTCATTGACCTCGGTCAAACCGATGACGTTACAGGTCAGGTCAAAGGTCGAATTTCACCGTTTACAGGCATTTCAAGAAATGCGTTGTAAAATCGAGTAAAATGCATTTCATTGAAAATCATCGATGGGGAAATGTTCTTCAAACACATATTTTGCTATTTGAGGTCACTGATACCAGATCAGGTCACAGAGGTCAGGTCACTGAGGGTCACAAATTAAAAATATCATGTGATGCAGGATTTATGATCCATTTTATATGCCAAATACGATTATGTGGGACAGGCAGCCCTTGGGGTCAATTGAGATTATGTTTTGGTGAAGGTCAGGTCAAGGTCAGGTCAAATTAGGTCAAATTTTAAAGTTGATATTTTGCATAAAATGGTTATCGATTCGATGCAGCTCGTCACGCGGAGTTCAATGGTGGTCTCCGTTTTGCGCTACGTGGTCTAGAATTGCTAAAAATTGAGTTAAAAAATTTGACGTCACTAATTTTGAACAGTTTTTTCGCTATAACTTGGCCAAACAATGAGGTATTGATCTAAATTTTTGGTATGTATATCGAAGAGTGCAGGGACTATCACATATATTCCGTTTTTTTTTCGAAATTCGAAAAATTTTTGGAACTTTTTTGAGTTTTTCTAAAAAAATATTTTTTTTTGATTTTTGGGGGTGAAAATCCCAAAGTTTCGAAAATCCGAGATAGCAATTTTGTAGCGCTATTTCTTCTCTACACAACCACATAAAGAACTTTAAAATGGCTTGCTAACTGTTAGATTTGGTGAGCGTTTCAAGATGTCATGTTTTTTGCTCATTTTTACTCGAACATGACCTCAGTTTGACCTTCATAACTCCTGACCCGAGGTGACCTGTGACTTGAAATTTTGTGTGAAGGTGTCAAATTGATGCCCGGGAAGGTACCCAAAATTTGGCGGCGCTGCGCGCTGCCGTTTTTCGCTATTCAAGAAAAACCACAGGGGGCAAAATGCCCCCATCAGGGCGCGGGTTAATGTTTTTTCTAAATGATTTTTTTTTTTAAAGTCTGCAACAGTCCGTACCTTCGTGTTAAGAAGTCGTACATTTCATCTATCAGTTCACCACCACAAGGGCACCCACGATCTCCTTAACCCTCGTGGGCCCGGGGGGCGTTCTTCGCCCCCCCCCCCCTCCCCCTGGCGAATATTTGCGATAGCTCCCGAACGCTTAGGGATAGGAAAGCGAAACTTTCAGTACCTTTTTCTCCCATCAATTTGACATCTTCTGAAGTAACAAAATGTGGACCTTGCCCTGTTGATGACGTCACAGTGTCAATTTTTCTAGACCCCTGCAAGGCAAACTTCGGTCGGCGTCACAGACGCGAACTTCAAATATCTGCTCAAAATAGAGTTTTAGAGAAAAATACAAATTACGAGCACGGTTGTGTAGCCTTTGACCTAGATTAAAATAAACAAGTTTTGGTGACCTGAGGTCAGAGGTCAGGTCAACGACCCCGAGCTGTGATTACAATTTTTCGCAAATAACTTCGACAAAAATGGTTCTAGAGCTGCGGCAGTGGTACCATCGCATTCGCGTTGTTAGGCCGCGTCGAATGATATATATATTTTGCTTGGAAAAGGTCAAGTTTCATGTTGACCTCATGTGACCTCGAGCGACCTTTGGTTGACCTTACCACAAGAAAGGTCGTTTATGATGGATTCGTACCCGCTGATCACGAATCTGGCATCTATTTTCCTCTAAGCCTTCATTTAGAGCCTCCGGATGACAAAATTGTCTTATTTATTATTACTAATTGAATCAGTGAAATAGCCTCTAGCAAGGATACTCCTCTGTGACCTTGACCTTTGAGCAACCTTGTATCGTAAGATGAACCACAAATAGGGGCTAGATAGGCCTCAAAACATTTCAACATTTTGGAACCTAGCCCGCGCCCTGCCGCCGTTTTTGGTACACCTTATCATACATCAATTCTACACATGTTGTGTAAATTTCAGAACAAGGTCATTCAAGGTCAGGTCACCAGGTCACTTGAAGTGACCTCACCTCATAAAAAGTGTCAATGTCTGCCATTGCTACACCGAGTGACCGATCGCTTTGAAACTTTCAGCGATTGATAAGGGTAACAGTATCTATAAAAATTATGTCTCAGAAATTTGATATCGGTGACCTAAGGTCAGGTCAATTTTGCGACCTCCCCATTATAACCCTCGCCCGTATAGGGGGGGGGGGGGGGTCGAACGGACCCCCCCATGGTTTTTCGCGAATAACTCGCGTAAAAAGCGGCCGATCGCAACGAAACTTTCAGTACCCTCGCGTTGATCAATTTTACACCCACCCTGAAAATTTCATGACCCTGACCCCAATGACCTTTGACCTGTGACCTACTTTTCGAGACCATGTTTGGCCGGAATCGCGATTCGGCGTATGTCGGCTCGCATTAGCCGCGCGTTTGCAGTCTTTTCGTGGTTTCAAGCGTTCAAACATGTGATATGATGTTGCCCCCATGCATTAGGGTGGGTGTCAAGGTCATCTGAAGGTCAGGTCAGGTCATTGACCTTTGGTGACCTCGGTTCACTTTTTCGAGTTTTACATGTTTCTAGGCCAGTTTTTTTAGCTGAATTCGAATTTAGTAACCATATGAACGTTTACGAAGTAGTTTTGGTACCTTCGTAACATGTTAGGAAGCTGTCAGAGGCGGTTGACACCTACTAGGAATACCCGGCAGGACCCCTACTGGTTGACCTGACCTGACCTGACCCGACCTGGACTAAATGCATAAAGACATCATCTGTGATCAAAACTAACATGATATTCGTGATCGGCGCCCCGAAAACCCCCATAGCAGCCACACTTTACGACGTTTTAACAGGTCCCGATTTTCCCGACTTTTGGGTCATTGACCTGACCTGCAAGGTCAACCAATGACCTAGGACCTTAAAATTAGGTATCATCGGCTTCCTCTCGTGACGGGCAACACGCTTGTTTTTTCCGCGAAGCTCTAGCTCGATCAGGGGCGAAACGGCAAGGGGGGGGGGTCCAACGGACCCCCCCCCTTATACGTTCGCGGCTGGAAAAACACCAATACGGGCGAGGGATAAGTCAATGGGAGAAAATTGAAATGCGCCTCTTTTGGACGAATGACATTATAAACACTCCCAAACACTGAATTACAAGTGGTTTAAACACACTGAGCATGAAAATGGTGTCCGTGACCCCATTTTATGCCCCTGAGGTCATCTCAGGTCACGAATGGTGTCTAACAGTTTTTCGCAAATAACTTTTGATAGAGGCATGCTAGAGCGGTGAAAACGCCTTAGATATGTTCAGCTCGACGATACGGATCGACTGATATGCAACATGACCTTTTCCGGTCAGGTCATGACCTTGACCTGAGCTCAAATTTTCAAGTTGACCTTTCAAGGTCAAGTTCATTCGATGCGTCTTGACGAGAGGAACACGATGCCGGTAAAAGTAAGCACTTACAAGGCTTGGGTCAAAAATTATTGCAGAAAAACTGTTTCCGAAAAAATCGGCTATTTTTGCAGTTTTTTCCCCCTGCAGGCAAAACCGTTGACGTTAGGTCAAATCTGAGAGAATTACTCAGAAATGGCGTTAATAGGGCTATCGAATGCGCTTTTCCGCGGCGCTTTAGCTCTATTGGTTCCCGAGTTATGCGTTGGCTTCTTGGAAATTGTCGACATTCGACCTGGAAATCGGCGAAATTTTGCCTTCAATGACCTCTGGTGACCTGACCTTTGACCTGACCAAAAGATTGACCGAAGTGATTTCCTCATTATTTTTTACGTTCTTTCGAACGCCGCCTTCCGCGTATCGCTACGTGGCCCAGGAGCCGAGTTAGAAGGGGGTGTTCAAACACCCTTCCTCCCCCCCCCCCCCCAGCAGGGCGTGGAAATCCAGGACCCCCAGCCGGACGCGGGCTGGGGGTTATATGCATGATTCATAAAATGAATCATGCATATAAAAGTGCAAATGAGGCACGAGGGGGTAATAATAAATATCAGCGTAATGATGGGAAATTAAGAAAACACATAAAAAATAAACACAATAAAAGTAAAGTAAAACAAAACAAAACAAAAGTGAGATGCCCCGCCCAGCCGGCGCGGTGCCGGGGGCCAGCGCCATCGGGGCGGCAGTCGGCCACGCGCACTCAATGGTTAGCGCTTAGCACCGGCGGCTAGCGCACACCCGGTGTGTTATCGGCCGTGAGCCGCTCCAAAACGGCTGCAGTAACTGGTCGATATAGTTAGTAAGCAGATGCAGAGATGCAGGTGGATTGATGACCGGCAAGCTTTTGTGTTTTACGAGGGTGAAGGGTCCTGGTCGGCTACTAAGTGGTGAGCGGATTTTATCAGATGAGGTTCACTATGACCTTTGTCCGGGTCCTGGTACCCTGACGCACTCTTGGAGAGCCGAATCACAGCAAAACTCTATACACGACTGTATGTATACGGCTTACGCTTTTCTGAAAACGCCTGCGCTTGGCCTTCTACGGGCCCGGCCGGCCGGCCGGCCGGCCTTGATTGGCGATCCACCAGTGACGTCACCGGTAGTGTTAAACTGATTGGCGAATAATACATGGGAAAAACCGGGACGACATCCCCCTGCATACATCAAGGATAGTCCAATACTTGGTAGAAGGAATGAAGCTATCCTACAAAAATTACCGCATGTAAATCGGTCAAGTGGTTGCTGAGATATAAGTCTCGCAAAAGCGTCCGCACGGCCGGCCGGCCGCATGACGCTGATTGGCGGCATACTTTGCTGACTTCGATTGTGACCATTATTTTGTTGTGCTTCAAACTTAGGTATCGTTGATTTGTTGCATTGCGTTTTTAGCGTACGACTTGTCAAGTCAACAGACAACGCTATTTTCTGACAAACAAAGCTTATATAACTAGGATAGTTCATTTTTATTTGTAACAAAGCATGAAATCATAGAAAGCTAATCACCGCATGGAGCCCATGAAGAAAGGACCCAACAGATGTTCAGACATTGTTCATTGTTCTTCCATTTCCTTGTCTTTCGTCTAAAGGTGCATTTTGTATGTAGACAGCCTTCGTTAGGCAGTGCATGAATGTCAGGGCGGCATACAAATAACCAACCGCATTTGAGACAAGTGACGCCGTGGCTTAGGCCACACATTTCTCGGAACTTCTGACACAGTAGCATTCACGAATTGGAAAAACCAGTTTGAAATTAGGTATAAAACGGAGAAGTGATGACTGCAATGAGCAGTTGATCCGAAATTATTCCAGCGTGAGCACCCTCTACGATCAGGTGAGCTAACTTTTCTTTAAGAACTCAAGACCTGTATGGATAGCCACACATCCTCGCCATGTTCCTCTCTGTCCTAACCTTCTCTTCTGCATCATTTTGGTATTACATCACTGTCTGTCCGTAGAAACCAACACGACCTGCTCTTCCTGAGGAATATCCTGGCCGGTAAAATCCGTTCTTCTAACCTCCTTGGTAGATTTCCGCTCCATGTGCCGCCGCGATCAACCCGCTCACAGCGGCTCTTCGCCGAGCTTTCCTGGCGCGTGCGGACCGTCGGGGATGGTTTTCTGCGCCGACTACCGAAGGCCATGAACGTGTTTTTAACTAGAAGTCCCGCTGATGTTTTTAGCGATAGTTTTTACACTTTCAGAGGACACGTTTTAAACTATGTGAAAGGGCTGGAAGCGGCGTGATCGCATCCGCTGTGCTTTTAGTGTTTCTTGTTTACTAGGCTTTTTAGGCTATTATTTATTTATTTACATCTCCTGTGTTTATAACTCTACGTGTTTTTATCTCCAGTGTGTGTGTGTGTGTGTGTGTGTAGGTGAATGTGTGTGTTGTGTGTGTGGGTGGGTGCTGTTTTACTGTCCCTTTGACTTCGCCTTTTAAGTGGACTTATTGTCTGTTGGCGATTTTAAATATACAAATACAAATACAAATACGAATTGTTATGATGACATTCAATCCAACGTAATTGAAAGCTGAAAATGAAATGACTTATATTTTGTGTATTGAGCTGCATAATTTGTAGATCCATCACGCATATCGATGGATTAAATAAAATCAGTTTTTATATAAAAAAAAAATATTCAGGTATGCTGTCTCAAAGCTAACAGAAATGGCTGTAGCATTGCAACTGTCGCCAGCTACCAGCATATTTTTTTCTCTTTGCAATAGCTACTCGAGCAACCGTATCCGAGATGCTACGCAAAAAGGTAAATAAATATTCTGACTATCGAGCATCCGTTTCCAGATCCAGTCATGAAGGCAGTCTTTGTTCTCGCGTGCCTGTTGGTGGCCGTCACTGCCAAGCCTGAGCCGCTGGGATTTGGAGCAGGACTTGGACTTGCTGCTGGAGGTGCCAGCTCGGGAGGGTTCCAGGCCCAGAGGGGTGGCCTCTTTGGTTCTGGAGGTTTCCAGGGAGCTAACAGCCATGCTGGGGTGAGTATTTCCACCCGTTTTTTTAGTAAATACATCCCTGAAATATGACTTAAGTGTCATAAAGGTCTTTCTGGGAATGCTTAATAACTGCCTAGATTTTTCTTAAACTGCTAACTGGTTTTCCTTAAACTGCTGCACAAAGACTTCCAAATATTTATTTGGAAGCCTTTGTGGAATTGTTCAAGAAGTAGGTACAGAATGCATCTTATCAGATATTTCAGTACTCATTGTGGTTGGTAATGTCATCGGTTAACTGTTTTCATTGTGCTACCCTCGCCGTTACATTCATTTCAATGATGGTTGCACATCTTGAGAGTTTTTGGTATTATCAGTTTCAAATTTTAATGAAAGATATTCAATAAAGACTAGACGCATGCATAGGCATCGATACCAACCCCTGAACAATTTTCATGCTGCTAAAGCAAGGCTGCTATCACAGCCTCAGACTTGTGCTTAATATTCCGCTCATCTTTAACCCCAATTATGACCACGCGCGGTTCCGTTTCAGGGCTTCGCTGGTCTGGGCGGCGCCTCTCTGAACTCTGCTGGCAGTCATCTGGGGCAGGGTACTGGTCTACTCGGAGGTCGCCAGTTCGCTAACACCGGCGCCCTCAGCCATCAGTTCGGACGCTAGAGGTCATCAGGTCATCAGTTTGGACGCTAGAGGTCGTCAGGTCATCAGTTTGGACGCTAGAGGTCGTCAGTCTACCAGTTTGGACTTCTGAGGGCGTCAGTTCACCACCAACGGCGTTTTCGGTCATCAGTTGAGAAGCTAACGCGGTGATTTTATAGATGGATTTCAGCTCGATGCGTATCGGTCTTCGATAAAGGCGCTACATTTTTTTTTTTTTTAAATGTTTTAGGGGTTGCAACAGAATGGCATTTGCATGTGGCGCTAGTTTTGTGAAACAATAAATTGGCACCAGCTGAGATACGGAATAATAGTGTTTCCTTGTGATGTGTTGTATATAGGTGCTGCCGCACATTTATTTCCATGGACAATTCAAAAGCACGTTCGGTAAACATAGGGGAAGTTGGGGGAACGCCGAAGACTTTTTTTGTGACGCCCGTAGCACGCAAGGTAGACAACATAAGCTATTCTTGTTGGCGTCATTCGAGAGGCCAGTCTTTTGCCTTTCAAACATACCAGGCGCATTTGATGAATTCGCATACCCTTAAGCGCACAAACTAAAAATATCAAAGAAGTGACTTTTTCGGCGTTGCCCCGGACTGCGGGGAAAGCCGAAAATGGGAGAAATGATTTACGGGGAATGCCGACATTGATGTTTTGCCAGTTTATCTCAAACTTTATCCAGAATTCATCAAAGCTGACACGCGTTTTAAGAGCTTGAGGACGCGGTGCACACTGGAAGTTATAATTGTGTGATATAATAAGAAAATGCCAGGTAAATTATTCCTTATAGGTAACAGGCCGTTGTATCGGTTGAAAGTGTAATTTGTGTGACTAAAAATACGCGTTGCTATTCTACAGCAGTAAAGTCCACGTAGCGTGCTTTTAACACGTGTGTAATCGCACGTTTTCGGCATTACCCCAGCCAGCCATACTTTCATTTGCAGGCCCATAACTTTTCAACGTGCTGTATAAATTTCAAATAGGCAGCACACTTATGCAAAGACATGCTAAAGATTACTTGACCGAATTGGCCAGACAAACGGTAGCATAATGAGTAAGAAATGCAGCTTCAAAGGCGCATGTAGTACAAGGGAAACGTACCTTGAAAACGCTCTTGGCGCCCTCACAGTCGAAGTATTCCCAATGACGACTCGTAACAAACATGCGATAATTGTAGTCACTTAAGCTTCAGAGCATCACTGACAGGTGGCATCCATGTTTTACGGTTTTCGAAATATCTCGAATTTCGGCTTTGCCCCAACTCCGGCATTGCCCCAACTTCCCCTACTATCTGTCATCAAAGGGGTTCAGTTTTGTTAGCTTTCCGGAGCAGACAGACGAGCAAAGATGGAAGGTAAATGTTATTGAGAACTCTGAAACCACCAAGTCATTGGTGCTGTAAGGCCTAGTGCACCAATACAGTAAAAATTTGTACAAAGCTGAGCTGGACGCTTGCATCATTATTCTTCAAATTTTATTAGATGTTCTTTTGTGACCTGGTGACCTGACCTCAATTCACTTTGAACTGAAGCTTTCGGGACTAAAAAACATCGCCATTACGAGAAGTTTTACGTGATTTATGGAAAACCTGGAAGGGGTCCATCAACGGAAGGGGTGCATCCCCATCAAATTTTCCCTTCTTTTGAAACCTGACAACTATTTTCACATATATTTGTACAATAGAAATATCGCAGAGCAATAGAAACGTGTCAGTAGGCACACTGGTCGCTAGAAATAAGACCAGGCGCCATGCAACATAACACACAACCAATAGTCACTCGATAACACACAGCACGACAGGAACACCGCAAGTTCATGGATTCTTCCACGCCAATCTCGGACAGGGCAAACGTCCAGCATCCACCATCAACACGTTCATTTGTCATCGTTCCTTGCTGTTCACCAGTCGGTATTTATTCGTCACGTCCAGCATCCTTGGTTAGCGTCCGAACGTGTTACTGAAGGCGTTGGTGCTGCCGATTTGACGTCCTGCTCCAAAGCCCAGGCCCTGGCCCGCGAAGTTGCTGGCGCCGGTCAAGGAGCCTCCCAGACCGGACCCGAATCCCTGAAATAGAAATCACTCAGTTAACCCGCGCCCCAGTGGCGGTCTCCGCCAACTTCGCCCTAGTGGGGGGGGGGGGGGGGGCATATGTTACCACCCACCTCTAACTCAAAAACTAAGAGGGCTAGAAAGACGCGGTAAAAAGCAGTCGATAGCTCTTGATGCGTACGTTTGAAAGTATTTAGGTCATTTTTCATCTTAGAGCAATATTAGGGTCACCAGAGGTCATCAAAGTTCAAAATTTGCGAATTGTCATTATATTTTTCAGAAAACATGTCATTATCTCAGGAACTGTGATAGCTAGAAAAACGCTGGGAAAAGCAATCGATAGCTTTTGAACTCTTCTTTTGATAAGGTCATCATCAAAAATGACCTCAGGTCAACGGTTTAGCCTACAGAGGGCAAAAACTCCAAAAATAGCTGTTTTTAAGAAAAGTGTTTTTCGACAATAACTTTTGACTAAAAAAGCTAGGTCATTTCTAATGCCAGAATCGTGTTTCTCTCGCCGAGACGCGTCGAATGAACTATAATTTGACCTTGAAAGGTCAACTTCAAAATTTGACCTCAGGTCAAGGTCATGACCTGACCGGAAAAGGTCATGTTGCATATCAGTTGATGCGTCTCGGCAAGACAAACACAATGAGGCCAACCCCAGCGTTCTATCTCTTTCCAATCGAGAGTTATTGGCAAAAAACTGTTAGTAGCCTCAAATGACCTCGGATGACCTTTCAAGAGGCTATCAGCAAAAAAGACACCTTGGTCGTCACGGGTGGTCCAAATCATTGTTATCCTGAAATATTTGGACTGTTCCTATGCGTACACACGGATCTAGAGGCATTTTCGTTTTTCTCCATTGACTTATAATGGAAAGGTCATGCCACTGACCTGACCTTAGGTCACGCATATAAAAAATCCGAGATATACAAATTGTAGGCACCCATAACATCATGTAATCCACCAAGTTTGAAACCTCTCTGACAAACACTGCAGGCTGGACATGATTGCAAACTTTTTTAGGTTTGGTCAGTTAACTTGACCTAGTGACCTGACCTGACATGACCTGGGGTCAAAAATTTCACACATTGTCCAAAATTGATGTACCAAAAGCTACCCCAAGCGGCGCGGCGCTACGCGCCGCGGTTTTTTATTTATACGAAAAAAAACCGACAGGGTGGTAACATATGCCCCCCCCCCCCCACTGGGGCGAAGGTTAATACGCGATTAGGCTATTTTGGGGGATGTAAATGCATATGCATGTGCTTAGTGAAGTTGCTGCATGTATATTGTGTAGGTAAGTGGTGTCAATCGGTTACCGAAAATTTCGGTTACCGAAAATATATGCTGACCGATTTGGTAATCGGTCGGTCAGGCCCCCCAAAAATCGGACACTTTCGGTCACCCTGCCAGTGAAACCATTTTCAAAAAGAGAAAGTATTCCATTTTTGCCTACCTAGTTAAAATGAAATTTATTGGGATGTTAATGATAGTTGCAAAATTTCCCCCAAATGTCAAATGCCACATTTTGGCAACTTCATTAGCCATCCCACCCAGCAGGCAGCAGCCACCCATTGTCCAACCACAACTACAAGCAGGCTGATTTTGACTCAGTTGGCCCCACAAGTACACACAATTTTGAAACTCTATTCCAGTCTGTTATCACCTGTAATCAAAGAAGTATTGACTGCAAAAATCATTATACAGTCATCAAAATGCAAGGACAAAAATAACTTGAATTACTGAAATGTGTTTCTGAAGACTGGAAGCTAGCACTTAGCACTTAGCAGTGATCACATTTACATTTCACAGGTGTTCTACTATTCCACATTCTCCCATATTGCAGGTATTTGCAGGTGCAGATACTTTCATATGGCAGGTACAGGGACCCGCAGTTGCTACTGTACAAATATATTACCAATTTAGAATTGTGCTATTATTTGCTAAGTGCTGGCCATTGGAGAAAGGAAATGTAGCGCAAAGTATGGAGGAATAACACATGTTTGCTCCTAAGACGTACGTTTTGTATAATTCCTCTTACCGCAACAGATATCCTTCCAAAACTACAATCGTGCTATTTTTCCGTGCCGGTTGCCTCCCCAGAGCCCGTCCTTGGTATCGCCTATAGCTTCCGTTCCCGCTACGTGAATGAAAGTCACGTGACTACTACACGTTTGCGCTCAGTACTAACACACCTAGCCCGAGGGCCGGTCCGTAGCGGGGAGGGGTAGAACGCCAGAGCTCCAGCGCAGCGGAGGTGGTGGTGGCCCGTATCATAAAGAGGCAACCGTAAGCAGAACTACAATTGCCGCAGTATGAGATTATGATAAAGTTTTCTTTAAATGTATTGATTGACAAGAAAGTGAAATGCTTATCAGATATAATAAAACGGTATCCAAGGCCTTGGAAGAACTATAAAACATATTCAACAGCGTATAAATTTCTGATACAGGCCATGACCTTTCACCTTGCCTCCGGGGAGGACCGCTCAGGAATCCACATACCGAACAAATCGAGGCCTCGCAGCGCGGCGGCAGAGGAGGTGGATAAACAATCGCTAGATCTTTTGGTTACTTATGTTTCCAGAAGAAAGGGGGGTGGAGGGTGAGGGCTGTTTTCAACCCATTCACCAATCCTTTCTTATTAACTTATAGCTTACCGAAAAAATGCAACACAATGGTGGCCGTCACGAGATGTAGCGAATAGTTAGTGCCTCAGCCACACCGGTTTTGAGTTAACTTTAAGCATTGGAATTCAGGCCAGTGATCCTGAAACATTATTTTATTTTTGTCGTGCATAAGCTGGGATGACGTGGGCCAAGTTAATTGCGAAGAAACGGTTTTAGTTTCAAATCAGAACATTTCTGAGGCTAGTCGCACCAAATAGTATAAGCATTGACGTGCTATGAAGAGGATGGAATTAATTCGACACAAGAAGTCAAAAAGTGGCATCGTTAGTCATCCTGCATACCTATAAATCGATTCGTCACCTCGATTCGAGCTCAATAGTTCTTTTCGCGGATGATCGGTTTCGTTTTTTTTTTTTGGGGGGGGGGCAGTTTGAGCCGCCAACCACCCTCCCCTGCAGTCCCCCCAACAACAATTGTTGACAAATACTGTGATGGCCTAAAATGCCCTCAACTGTGTTACGTATTTGGGGCTATCAACTTTGATTTGTTAAAGTTATTTGTCTATTCATTATAAAAGCTGTCAAATTTTCCGTATCATTAAACTTTTATTGAGTTTGTATTTCACCCTTATCTAAAATGAACAATTTTATCACTGGCTTCTTTTATTAATGGATGGTCGCATGAATGAACGAATGAATAGCTCTACATCATTTGAGCATCAGCTGAAATCAATCCTAAAATTTAATCTACCAGTCTGCAACGAAAAGGTTTAAAAACCAGTGCAAGTTAGGTGCAGTTTCTAATCTATGCCGTTTTTTATTAAGTGTCTCATAGCTCCTTAATCTTGAGCCGCTTCTCTCCCGATTCATTTTATCTGGTGCTTACATTGTTCAAGAAGTTATAGTATTCGAGCTCGTTGGTCTTAAAAACTGCTATCGAAGTAAATTAAAGTGTTTCGGGCTTCGGCACTCAAAAACCAATCGAAATTTTACCCTCACCCATTTAGGCATTTCTTTTCAGCGTCTTACATGTAGCGAGGGGCGTAGAAACCCTCAGCCATTCGGCCCTTGATAAAAAGAGCCAGAGCTTCGCTGAAAAAGCAAAAAAAAAAGAGCAAACTGCTCGTGACGAGAGAAATCCGATGATTTTAGGGTCCTGGTCATCACTGACGAGCGAAAGCCAATTATTTTTATGTCCTGGTCAATGTTGAGATCCTAGGTCATTGGTTGACCTCCCAGATTAGGTTAATAACCCAAAGGCACGGAACATTGGGTCCTGCTAGAATTTCTACAAGTGAAGTTTGCTGGGATTTGGCTTGCTTCTGACTCCGAATTTGCACTTGCTTTGATCAAAGATGATGTATCAAATCATTTGGGGTAGGACGGGTCGCGCCAGATCACCCATTAGGCGTTCTGCCGGCTATCCAAAGAATGTTAACTACAGCCTTGCAACATATTGCATAGGCACTATAACTGATGCCTAAGTATGCCTAGTTTTCAAATGCTAGAATGGGTGCTAAATTTCAAACCAACACTTCCTAAAAACCACAGTAAAAAGGTGTACATTTAAGGAAGTTAACCGAGATCATTTCAAGTAAATGGCCTTAAAAGGGACTATCCCACCTTCTAAAATGTTGTTAAAACCAGTTAAATTGTGCCCGACTTTATAGATTGGATGACCAGGAACACGGTTCTGGCATTTATTTTTCATTAAACATCTATAGGCTTCCCATATTTCCAAACACAAACTTTCAAATATGTGACGTCACAGCCCAAAATTACCTCCTTCCCCAGGCCACATTACTGTCATAAAGCTGATTCTTTTTACTCTGTAGGCACCACAACAAAGTTCAGACCAAGTTTTAAGCGATTTTTCAACGAACAAACCCATTTAAATCAGAATGACTAAACGAGGTGACGTCACACTAACGGTCGCTCCATGTTGAAGATAGGGCCTTGCACAAGGCCCATTTTCAAATGAAGGGAACGAATTTCTTCAACACCAAGAGGCCGCGGGGGTTGCAACCTAGATAGATAGTGGTTTCTGAACCTCGCCGCAAACTTGGCTATCTCAACTCAAACCCCATGTTAAAGGTGGGATAGTCCCTTTAACCTGAGTTTCACGTGACCTTGGCACCCACAACAATCAATGAGACAAACATTAGATAGTAAATTTCACATGTTGTCACGTCCTTAATCACGAAACGACTATGGAAACACAGAAGATTGCGCTGACTTTTGATTGCTTTTCTGGCCTGACATGATCTAGAAAAAATAATCACAGGTTAAAAGTAATTTGGTCCCGGGATTTAAAGTTATCGGAGAAGATGCAACAATGATAACGGCTATTTAATTTTCCGGGAAGTTGTAAAATTGATTAA